CAAGGATTTCCTGATATTCCGTCAAATTATTTTGTATTTTTTTTTTTCTATTTTTTATTCGCCTAAAGCGAGGGTAAGGAATCCCGATTTGACCCTGAGGCAAAACTTGTCCGGAGTATTTTTCTGCATAACATAGATTCGGACTCCCCCCCCCCCTCTGCCCCCCTTCCCCCTTATTGCAGGGACCTTCTCCGGCCCTCGCCCCTGACCGAGCCGCCCTGCAGCCCCTGTGGGGTGACCAAGGGTCCGACATCGAGCGATACAGGCCTGAGGCCTTAGTCAATCGGCGGAATACAGTAATTTTGAGAAAAAAAACAGGGCGGACGTCGGGGCAACCACCACGCTGGGGGATGGGAGAACTTCTGCCAACTCGGGAGAAACGACTGCCGGGACATAAGATTTCGTTTGCCAAAAACCCGCACAGAGCGAATAGGGCAATGGTTCGCAGGGTCAAAGAAAGATTAAGAAAATGGGCAAACTTGAAGATCGAATGTCTCTCACTGTGGCGTTGTGCTGTTATCCTCAATGCTGCAATTTTGTCATCGTTGCCATACAGCGGTTCTGTGACTCCGGGAGGACAGAAAGACACTGACGAGGTAAGGAGACTCGGAGCACAGTTTTTGTCAAAAGGGTGGTACCCAAAAGATAAAAAATACATATCCGAAGTCCCGTGGTGGAAGATGATTAGTAGCGAAAAGGAAGGAGGCGGCGGAAAGGGTAGTAATACGGTAGAAGATTCAAGAAGTTAAAAAATATATTTCTTATCTTCTTCATGGCGGAAGGTGGGTGTCTAGCCCTGCTCCTCCTCTTTCCAAAATGTTTACCCCTCCTTCTCCCAAAGTGACATAGTGGAAGGTTGTTAACAAGAGGCGGAGGAGAGCTAAGCATTTCGGGCCCTGGGCCATTGGATTTGGATCTAAGGATTGCCCTAGAAGCTAAAGAGGAGAGCTAAGCATTTCGGACCCATTGGATTTGGATCTAAGGGTTGCCCTAGAAGCTAAATAGTTACCCAAAGCTAAGTACATACCCACAGCTTTGGGAACCGGAGACGAATTTACGTGGCACACTTCACTTCAATGTTAAAACTGCTTGGCGAGGCATGGAACTTGGAAGATGAGGAACCAATATGGGGCACTTGTTTGATGGAGGGCATCTTCTTGAGTATTTTACTGTGGAATTGAGAATTTGGGGCAAGGCTAAATAAACTTTAATAAAGCCGATATATGAGCATGTGCACCAGAAAGAAGAGAACAGGTGTTTAGAGAACCGCTATTTCAAAACCCGGTCATTCTTGATGTAGAAGGAAAAATGTTCCGGGCAAAAAGAGGGAAAGGAAACTTCGGAAAACTTCTCTAAGTTGGACGGAATGGAAAAGGTGTGGGTAGAATTGAGGTTCTATTTGATGAGAACAAGAGCTCATGAATGGAAAGCTGTTTAAAAAAAAGACAAAAAAAATCAAGGGGTCATGGAGGACTGAAGAGGAGATGGCAAATAAGGAAAAAATGATACAGAATCCGACAACTAGAGTTGGTTTATGGAAAAAAAAGAAAGAAAAAAAAGGGGGGGGGGGGAAAGCAAAAACGGAAAAAGGAAAAGGAAAAAGAAAATAAAGGAAAAAAAGGGAAAAAAAGGATAATTTGCAAAATACCCTCATAAGTCGAGATATATGCCAAAATGCCCCTGAAAGATGTGGTTAGAGCAGAATGGCCTTCTGGGCCGAAATCTTTGCGTTGTGACCCTGTCAGGCGGGTGTGCAACTTTACAATCTGGACCTCTCCCCGTTTGGGCCTTGGCATTTTGCAATAGCAGGGTATATTGCAAAGATGGCGGCCCCACTGACGCCAGGGGTATTTCACAAAATATATATATATTTTTTGTCAGAGGGTCATTCCGCTCTACGCGCATCTTTTAGGGGCATTTTGGCATATATCTCAACTTATGGGGGTATTTTGCAACTCGTTCAAAAAAAGAAAAACAGGAAAAACGAGAAAAAAAAAGAGTTGGTTTATGCAATTCCATGGGAATGGTGTACTCTATTGGAAAAGGGGAAAAAAACAAAAAAAGAAGAACAAGAAAAACAAGAGTTGGTTTATGCCGTTCCATGGGAATGGTGTACACTATTATTGGAAAGGCCTGCCTTTTTTTTTTTTTTTTTTTTTTTTTTTTGCCTACAAGGCTGCTATACGTGGTTGAATGCGGAAACGACTGAGAAACACCTACGGCTGTGGAGATTGGAGGAGCATAGGACAGAAGAAGAATTGATTTTGGACAGAGGAAGAATTGATTTTGGAAGTAAAGGACCTCAAGGAAGTGGTGGTGGCTGAGGAGCTAAAAACATGGAGAGGACTCAGGGGAGATAAGAATACAGGCCATATGCAGTGGAGAAGGCGGTTAAAGAACTCCGAATCGATCCTACGAAGTGGGGTTGGAGGAGAAGAAAAAAAATATGGAGGAGACAAAATATCTGGAATACGCATCACAGGGAGGATGTAATATTCTAGAGCAAAAGAGAGCGGTTACTGAGCAGGTGAGATATCAAACAAAAGCAATCACAGATCCAAAGACCAAATGATTGAAGTCCAGAGGAATCAGACATATGTATCATGTGGAATGTGTTAGTTGGTCAGATTTCCAAAAAAAAAAAAAAAAGGACATACCACTTCAGAGGAAACAAAAAAAAACACCAATCACTGGCAATCAGCCAAAATAGGGGGGGTACTTTGTCAGCTACTGCATCTCATTAGTGTATCTGAGGCCAGAAAGGGGAAACAGAAGAAAAAAAACATATGTCATGGAAATGTTATGTTGGATGGAGTTTGTGGGATTGATGATGATTTCCGCCTGGCATGATAATTTGCGCTGGGGCCAGAAATGGACTGGGTGCAAAGTACTTCGCAGAAGATGGGAAGATTGGGGGAATAAGCCGGGGTGGTGAGAAGTACTTTGGCGGATGGGAGGATTATGGGGATAAGCCAGGGACAGAGAAGCCTTAGGGTACTTTGGAAGGGCTTATGGGGATAAGCCAGGGTCAGATCAAATAGTCAGGGTCAGATCAAATAGTCAGGGTCAGGTCAAATAGTCAGGGTCAGATCAAGTAGTCAGGGTCAGATCAAATAGTCAGGGTCAGGTCAAAAAGTCAGGGTCGGATCAAATAGTCAGGGTCAGGTCAAATAGTCAGGGTCAGATCAAATTGTCGGGGTCAGATCAAATAGTCAGGGTAAGATCAAATAACCCTGGAAGGATTATGGGGGTAACCCAGAGTTAGATCAAATAGTCCGACAAAAAACAAGAGCAGTACTGCTCTGGGTACTTTGGACTCTTTGGAGGAACAGAAACAGAAACAGAAACAGAAATAAGATCGCAACAAGAAAAACTGTGTACAAGGGTTGCAAAACGAAATTGCAAAATTGCAGCTGAGAGGGGGATTTATACAAGTGCCGAATTCAGGGACAGGGTGACACAAAGGAGGGATAAATAAATACGAGGGCATAGAGGGGTTTAATAGAGAGACTTAGGGTACAACGAGTGGTGGTTGGCTGCGGCAGCTCTGGAAGGGAAACAAAACAAAAAGACAAAAAAGAAGAATGGCTGTTTGAAGAAAGAGTGGGGTACACAAAAGCTGCCATCAAATTGGTTCTAATCCTCTCTCCTTAGAAGAGCAATCGATGCTATAATTGGGAATAGACGATCATAAAATGGAAGATTGGTGTCTTCTTGAAGGGCGTCTACCGTCTTCCCCCGAACATAACACGTGTTGTAAACTAGGCTACCAGCCGGGCCGCCCGGGCCACCCTATTTTCCCGGACGGCCCGACCGTGCAAGGACCAGGGAAGGTCCTAGCAAAAAAAAAAAAAAAAAAGATCAAATGAACAACTTTTGCCTCAGGGTCACATTGAAATTCTTTACCAAATTTAAAATAAAAAATAAAGTCAAAAAATATTTATTTTTATTTTTATTTTTTTATTTAATTTTGGCCCGGCCGGACAAGTGGCCCCGGGCCACTCTGGTAGCCTAGGCTGTAAACGAATACAACACATAGGTTGCTTTCTAGATGAATACAACACATCTGCTTTTCTATATTCGAATACAACACACATGCTTTCTATTCGGATTTTCGAATTCTTTGAAAACCTGAATACAATGCATAACGTCTTTTTCCCCAGAACATAACACGCCAGCGTTGTAAATGAATACAACGCATAGGCTGCTTTCTATTCGAATACAAAGCACACGCTTTCTATTCGAACAGCCCTGATTTTCACATACCATACATGTGTTCTATTAGAATTTTTGAATTTTCTAAGAAAACCCCTATACAGCACATATGCGTCATCACTGGGGGAAGACGGTGGTAAAGGCCCAATAGCTAATCCTCTCTTTAGGAGAGCAATAACTTAACGAGTGCTACTGGGGAAAGTCAGATGACATGTTGCCTGTTTCGTTTTCTTCCCTTGAATGGAAAATCGAGACCTTTTGCAAAAAGAAAAAAAAGAAAAAAAAAGAAAGAACAGGGAAAAAAGGAAAAAAAAGAAAAGGCTCACCCGCCAAGCTCATACCAGGGCTGTAGTAGCGTTGCTGTTTTCAAGAGAAGATGAGCCTTCACTGACAGGAAAGAAAAGATCCAACTTCTTTTTGTCTTTTTTTTGTCTTTTTTCTTGCCCGTTATGAGAACCCCACCCACCGAAAAAAAAAAGAGGAGGAAAAAAAGAGCGAGGAAGGATCCGACATGGAATATGCATTATGTGCCAAAACAATAAACAAAAGGGCATAAAATTTGATAAAAATGCAATGCATTGATAATGAACAGAGAAAAACATAATGGGCACATCCACAATATGCGATTGTCTAGTAACATACAGATATTACAGAAGAAAGGATTGACCCAAAAAAAAAAGCAAACTATCTAGTATGAACTATGTAATATCATACTAATATGTATTATGTACAATATTTTCGAGAACATTGAAAAAAAAAATAAAAAATCAGAGACAAGCTACATCTAGTTTCTTCAGTTTTTATTTTTTTTTGAAGCCCAAAAAAATTGTTGCAAAAGAAAAACAAAGGACTTGGCCACTCCAGAGGGGGATATAACAAAATAAACAGAAACCAAGAATTATGATTTTTCGCTCCCACCCCTGCCCCCTTCCCCCTTCCCTTCTCCCAAACCCCCTACCCCCCTCCCTCCCCAAAGAGCCCTGCCCCATACGAGAATGATCAACGGTTATCCATCTCCATCCTTGAATCCTTGGGCGTCTCGATGTTGACAGCTTCCCAAGAGTCTGAATCTGGCACAAATAGAGGGCCAAAAGCATGAAGCCAAAAATTAGAGAAGCACAACGCTCACCTTCGTGAAAAAAAAAAAAAACCAACACAAAATGAGAATATGGTTAGAACTTCCATTCCACTATTTTGACTTTTCTAAGGGAAAAAAAAAAAAAACCACAATTTTTTTTCAGAGTTTCTTGATGTCGCAGGCTGGTGGTTTAAACCACCAGTACTTGGCCCAGCTATCGGCCGTGGAAAAAAATGGAGTAGAAACGTTTCTAGTTGGATGAATTTGGGCGCTCCTGTAGTGGCCCGTACGTTTCCTAAAATTGCGTAGCGTTAACGTTACGCGACTTTAGGAAGTACTGGTGGTTTAAGAAGAAAAAAACAGGCGTGACCCTCAGCGCTAAGGTTTTCGTTTCTTTTATCGTAGTCTACAGGTAAGCAAAAGTACACGTCACGATGGCTGTATGCGAGACCTGGTGCACACGAGAGCAGAGGTCATGTCGTGTACATGCTAACCGGACTGTGACCGTGCGGAGACAGAATTGCTTGGGACAACCGCCGCCCTCTGAAGAGGGGCCCCCTCACCCTTTTTCTTTCTGTTTTTCAAACTTTTTCCCTTGATGTTCTTAAGACCTGTGAGATATGGGTTTGGTCTTCTTATTGGTATATTTTTCAAGACAACAAAATCTCCATAAGCAGACAAACAAACATATTTAGGTGGTCATGGAATGAGATCCTTTGTTAAGAAAGGTGGCCTGCAGGGCCAGCACCGCGGGAATTATAGGGGTGGGTGCGAGCCCTGCAAAAAACGCGAGCGGACTGCCGCGTGAAACGAAAAAAGATCTCAAGAAACTCACTTCTTCCTCCAATCTGCGCAGGGTACCTCGCGGAGTCTCCGCTGCCGCGCCACTTGGGGGAACTCAGCAAGAAGGCGCCTTGAGCTATCCGCCGAATTTGCTTCAAATAGCAAACTTGGGGACCTCTCAAGTGCTTGGCGGGAACTGCTCAACTGCTGCATCAGAACTGGCCCAGATGCTGTCACAAGGAGTGGACCCCCGGTAAGTTGAAATCGAAGAAGAGGGGTAGGACAGCCTTAGTAGGGCGTAGCCTCCTTAGCGGCCGACCAAGGCCTTTTCTTGTTGCTTGTTTTATTCTGGCCAGGCCAGATTTACTGTAATGTGCTGGTCCAATAAGGTCTTCCCAAAGGCGTCTTCTAATTTATTTTGCGACGCCTTCACTGTCAGCGGCAGAATCCGTCTAATCTGCACAGGCAAGGGACGCACCCTGGCCAGGTTCAGGGGACGGGGGAGGGTCGGCCAGATTGTTCTCCAGGCATGTAGAGCTTGTGAATGCACATCCGCATACTGTTCCTGATTGACCAGCCAGACCAAGATCTCTCTCTCTCTCTCTCTCTCTCTCTCTCTCTCTCTCTCTCTCTCTCTCTCTCTCTCTCCTCCTCTGATGTATGGCTATACCTCTGACTGTCAAGATGTTGTGATAGCCTGTATTTGCACCAGCGTTTGCAGCAGATTGATGGGTTAATGATCCACACTCTGATCATTCTATGGACTCCCCAACTGCTGATGATCTGTCTGCATAACGCATGCCAGAGTCAATGAAGTTATCACAGCCAGAGGTGCCTGACAGAGATTCTCAGGACCGGAACGAACCTCCGCCTGCTCTGCGATCTGCAGAATCAAATGACCTCATCGTGCTACAGCGAGGCCACTGTGCGTACGATGCCATCAATGTGTGTCCCATCGCTTTTTCTCAAACGCCCCCGCCAGTGTTAGTGCTGCTGATAAGGGAAGACACCACTAACACCTAGGGAGAGGCTCCATCTATTGGTGGGGAGCATCACCTGCTGGAAAACGGGTCCAGCGTCCCATACTACAGAAGAAATAATGTCTGAGAATGTCTGAGGATGTCTGAGCATGTCTGACAAAGGTGAGGAAGATGAGGACTGAGACTGTGGGGCCTGCCAGCATTGATTGCCCTACAACCCAGGGGATTGACTGAGCAAGTCTGTATAGTGTTCAGTAGTGCAGTCCTTCATGAACATGGAGTACTGCCATCGCCTTATGTATCTCTTCACCCTCGGAAAAGGGCGCCAGATAAACGTTTCAGGGCTGATACTATTCACTGACTACTGCCTCCAGACCCTGCCCGATGTCACAGGCTGCTCAGGCTATCCAAGATGCTAGCATTGACAACCTCAACTGAGCCTATAGAAAGAGAAGATTAGCGGGGTCCTCCCCAGGGGGCTCCAGGGAGGAGTTCTGCGTGTGGGCGTCGATACAGAAACAGAGGGAATCATAGGGATCAGATATTGCATTCAGGGCAGGATTTCTGCCAATGACAGGGCATGGGGCGGAAAGGGGTCTGGGAAGTCCGAGGGAGGGCGTAATGGGAACGAGGGTTCTATGTTAGTCCAGTCCTTGAAAACTAAACGATAGTCTCTCATTTCTTCCAAGTCACGCAACCCTCCACCTTTGTCACCACTCCATTCTATTTTTGCAATCTATCCTTCGCTTTCCCCCCCTATCCAGTCCGTGCAAAATGCCGTAATCCGTCTCCTAACGTCTCCAATTTGTCTGAGGAGAGCTAATTGTGCTTTTGTGTCCAACCATCTACGTGTGATTTCAAGGTGTATCTGTTGCTGGATCTGTTCTGTGATCTCTGCCCCCTCCACCCGTACCTTCTCCATGGCCAGGGTGCATCTCTGCCACCAGAGTGCCCATATCACTGCCCTCCTTCCAAGTCTGTACATATTCTCTACGAAGGTCGTGGCTGTTCCTGCCAACACCCAGTGCCCAGCCAATATGGCTTGCCATGACCAGGGCCAGGGAATATCCGGTTCCATTTTACGCCATATAGGGTCCCACCATCTCCATATGAATTGGGCAATCGGGCATTGCATGAAAATATATTCAATGGTTTCTGCCTTCTTGTGGGAGGGGAAGAGACTCTGACACCGCTGGCACCACGGGAGCAGTATGCCTCTTTGTTTGAGGTTCGTACGGTCGGTTAACCAGTCGTTGGTTGGCAGACAGAGGTGGGCTATCTGCCACTGGAGGGAGGTGATTTTCATGGGCTTGTATTTTTGTTCCTTGAACCATTGGATTGGTGACAGGAGGGTGCGGTCCACGTTCAGGTATCTGGCCCATCTATCGTTGATCAGATCCCTCATATAGCGTTTAGGTCTGAGCATTTTGTAGGCTGATTTAACCGTTAGTTGCTGTAGGCTAATATGTCTTGTCTTGCGGGCTCCCCTCTTTTGAGGAGGCTGCCAAGTCCATTCCACCGGGTCCAGAGCCAAGTCCTGGATTGGTTTGTCTGGCTGGAACGCCACCCTTTGTCCCTTCTCTTCTGTAACTCTCACGACGACGTTCACTGATGTTCCATCTCTCCATTCGAAGGGTGCTCCACTCCCTTGAAGAGTGCCTGTTCTGGTGTTAGTACAGTATTCAACCAAGACTTTTTGGGGCGAAACCATATGTATCAGGCCAATCCTCAGTGGGGTCCCAGTGTCTGCAACCCAATCCCCTTCTTTTAAGGTGGGGCCACGTTCGAGGATCCGGTACCATTCCAGTGGAATGGCCTCAATAAGGTTTTCCAATAGCTCCTCTACGCGGTGACAGTATCTTAAGGTTGCTCGCAGCTGGTCCCCTGTTTTCCAGTCCTTCCTTTCACTGTCCCAAAGATCCCCTACCCTAAGTACTCCATGCTTGACCCAGCTCTTCCAGGGTAGGGATGAGCTCGTCATAACGCCGCCCCTCGTGTCTGTCACCCATCTATTTCCGAAGAGGGGTTGACGATGGACTGCGTCCCAACGGTTGGGGTGGGTCCTGTCCGGGAGCGGGAGTTTACGCCAGATTTGCAACAGAGATGGCCAAAAGTTATCCAGTGTCTGACCCCCTTCTGACCCTTCCCTTCCATGTGGGAACTTGCGTGGAATTGTCCAAGAGCAGTCATCCAGCAAAGTCAGCGGATGGATCGTATTGGGGGTTGTCGGGGCCAACAGAGCCAAATGTTCCGAAGCTAAAACACACCACGGGCTTTGGGGGGCAAAGATAAACTTTTTTATCCACTTAACCTGAAGTGCCTGCACTTGCGTGGTCGGATCTTCCCAAGCCTCCTCCTACCTTTGGCTGGATGATTGAGTCCCAAGCTACTCGGCTTATTACGTTAGTCTGTTCTCCATCCCCCCTCCATAGGAAAACCGCTACCTTTTTCTTTAGACTCCTCAGAGCCGTTTTGCTCAATGGCCACAGCAAAGATGTGGCATTCTGAGAGACACGGGCCCCAGTTAGGGCCCGGTTCCAGGTAGGCAGGGTAAGCCTAAGGGGACGACGGTTCAGATAAGGCCCAGGTAGGCCAGGGGTACACTGGTTCAGGCAGGCCAGGGATAGAGGCCCAGGCCAACGGCCACAAGGCCGGTACCGGTCCAGCATAGGACCTACCGGCGGCGCAGTTTCAGCGGCTGCCGAGTTTAGGCGCCAAGTCCAGTTCGAAACTGGACCGTTGATTCAGATCAACGGTCCAGGCCGGTAGGTACCAGCAGGTAGGAGGCCAGCCCAGCACTACAAAAGGTTGGGTACCAGCCTCAGCAGAAGGTTAGAAGTTAGTACGGTTGGGTTAGTCTTCAGGATTAGCACAGCCTTGCAGTGTTAGTGAGATTAGCGCAGCACAGCAGCGTTAGCACGAGCAGCGAGGAGAAGACGAGCGCAGCGGGGAGAAGGAACAGCGCAGCGGCCCTGCCGCGCCATAGCTACCGGATCAGGTACCAGGGAGGAAGGCGTTGCCTTCTCTCCCTCTGTTCCTCCACCCCTCTGCTCCCTCTCTCTCTCTCTCTCTCTCTCGCTCTCGCTCTCCTCCTACCTTCTCAGTCTAAGCCTACTTCTGAGTTCTCCTACGGGACTACTATGAGTATGAAGGATGGTTACGAATTCTGATAACATTGGGAACAGCGACATTGGGACTACAGGTTGAGGACTACTTGGGGGATCTGATT